TGGTTAATTAATATATAAGTAATAGCATAATGCTACATTATTTGTGCCCCCTCTAGCAGTGTTACCAAATTGCCCACAGTGTGTGAATGTGCATGTCTGCCCTGTGATGGACCGGCCTCCCGTCCTGGGAGATCCCTGTCTGGCGCCCCATGTTCCAGGTGCCCCCAGGACCATGTACTAGATAACTTGCTGGAAGACGGTAGGGCGTTGCTAGGAATATCAAAGCTTATCATGACTCATTATTGTCGTCAGGGGCGCAGTAAGGGGAGGGGACGTTAGGACAATTAAAAAAAATTTGGAAAAATAATTGCATTGGTCTGGCCTGGGGAGCCCAGTATGAAGCGCTTTTATGGGGCCCAAAATCTATAGCGACGCCCCTGATTGTCATCATTCTGAAATGACCTGAATGACGCTGAAGTGTGTCAGTAGTGATTAACAGATAAAATATACGATATACGATAGACGTTTACAATACAATCGTGGCAAGAAGCATAGATTTATGGTCCGGAAAGTAAAAATCTCTAAATGAAGTCACTGTTTATGTTCCTTTTAAATGCAGGGATACATAAAACATATGTCGCCATAAAACAACGCATCAGCTAAGCGGATATATGTGTCTGTTAATGCAGAAGTCACTAAGCAATTGGCTGCCCATTTATGAGGATACCCTCCGTTTGCTGTGGCGTGCATCATTTTAACATTTGTTTTCCTTGATTGTAAGTTCAGTACTAGTCCACTGCATTCTCCCTAGATCACAGCCTTCCTGTAATGAGAGGCCTCGCACAGACCACGTTGTTTGCATTAGCTTGTAGCTTGCGAGAAGAATGACTCAATCAGCCGCACTGCATCTGTGTGTTTTCTTGTTGTAGTGTGTTAATTGATCGTATCTCAGGGCCGCCAGTCAAATGGATCGTATTTCAAGCCCCGTTTGTCGTAGTGCTCGTCTGCACTCAGTTTCAAGACCTATATTCCTGCATTAATGCAAATGGTTCAGAAAATCTACATGAGCAGAAATAGGCTACACTGAGCTTTTTGTGTTAATACACCTCGCTTCATGTTTGTTTACATATTATTTGTTAATTGCATGCATGGATGGTTTTTCCGCGTGCAGAGAGATGCTGGACGCTGCGGTGAATGAGCAGTTCGAGTCCCGACGGCGTGTGAATGGCGTTGCCGGACAAAAGGGGGTCATACATTATGCATGTCTCTTTGCGCGGCCTTTATGGAAAAACCCGCGTGAGCGAGCGGTCCCTCAAAGACGTCGTCACGTGCATTTTCTCCAGGTCGTGTGACCCATGTTTTCATCCTTTAATAACAGGTGCAAACGCCCATTTTTTTGCCATTTGCCGTTTTGTTTTTGAATACGCACTTTTGCCTATACAAAGCTTCCACTCTGACCATCTCATTGATACCGTTACATTTTTTTTTTCCCCCCAGAGTTGTTCTGGTGCAGTATCATCAACCTTTCTGTCCCAAGTTGGCACCCTTAACTCCCAGGCTGCTAACGAGATCCGTTCTCTATGTCTGTCTTTACGTGAAATTTGTAATAATACTGTACCGTACCCCGAGTCGATGAACCACTGAAGCCGCTCAGTGCTTTCACGAACGTTACAAAGTAGCGCGTGCGTTTGTTATTACGAACTATTGTATTTGTCCTGGATTTTTTATATAATAGGCTTTATGGCAGTATGTTCCTAAGTACGAGTCGTTTGTAAGTCGGATGTTCTTAACTCGGAAACTGCCTGTAATCACAACGTGGCCCTTAAATTACTCATGCTTTCGCTTTCCAGCGACCTCTCCCTCATTCTTCCCTTCAACAGTACATTTCACTCTGGTGATACAGCCCCAATTCGCCCTCATTTTCATGAATTAACAGCTCGAGTGCCTTAATTTACCTCACACACAAACCCAGCTTTCTTCAGCTGCATCCTACATAATCCTAATAGGAGTGGATGTGGAAAAACTCCCATTGTTTAAAATGAACAGATTATCCGTGGCTAAAAATCCAGTCCGATTTTTAAGTATAACTTGGACAGTGGAGGCCAAAGCAGGTTAGCCGGCTCAGCGGAACTTGGTGGAAGGTTCTATAAGCCTGTTCTAAGCAGGTGCTGCTCGCCCGAATTTGCATCGTGGGAGTTAGCTGGAGCCACCTGATCGCATCGCATGTTTGCATGCGACTCGGGGATTTCCATAATGCTGCGGCCCTGACTCGTAAGCCGTCCCTCACGGCACCCTTCCGGAAGCGAGCGCGCTGCCTCAGGTCTCTGTGGTGACCTGCTGCCATGGAGACCATTGCATCAGAAGTTACCCCTGCATTCAGCCACTCGAAGAGCTCCCAGATAATGAAGCCTTGTCTGTTACTGTAATGCCTCTGAGTAAATGGGCCCCCTCAATAAGAAGTGTGACGTTTCAGTGCAGCGCCGTTGAATGTCTGGAGTTGGTTGTGTGTCATCTGCGAAGAGTTGCTGTATTCATGTGTCTGTTGGGTTAGGTCAGGTTCGCTTGCACATTTTTAGTCTAAAGTTGTAGAGGCTCAGTTGAGACTAAGATCAAAAGCGTGCAGCCAGCTTGAGGAATAGTGGGATCTATAGACTAAGTTGGGGCAACGTTAGCAATACAGCCTCAAATTTGTCTTGAAGGTCTAACCAGTCTATCATTGATGACATCCGGCACGGCAACAGCAAACGGTACGGCCCAGAGGCGTTGAAGGAACTCCTGAAACTCCTGCCTGAAGCAGAGGAGGTGAGGACTGCCCGTCTTTAGGGAAACTTCAGATGCGTTCGTGGAATGGACCAGATGGTAGATTTAGACCATACGTCTAAAGGCTCTATGGATTTTTGTGTGGAACATTCCATCGTGCAGTTAAGCAAACATAAACAGCAGCGGAGGAGATGGTCAAATTGGGTGATGATGTAATGGTCCAACAGAAGAAGTGCTAGTTGAGCTCAGTTTCTGGGCATTGTGTTCTGGCATTGTACAAATGGATGGGGGGTCAGTGGAAGCAGTGGGTCATGTGATTCTAGGAACATGTTAGTATTGACACTATGCTGCCCTCTGCAGGTGAAGAAGCTCCAAGCTTTCAAAGGAGACACCAGTAAACTGACCCTTGTGGACTCCTTTATGTACCTTTTGATCCAGGTGCCAAGGTATGAGCCCTATTGTTGTAAGCGGTTTATATTTTGGTTTAACTCTCTCTAATCCCATGTTAAATGGGAAATGAGCTCCTGTTGTTGCAATTCACAGTTTTGATGTTCGTATTGAAGCCATGGTGCTTAAGGAGGAATTCTTCCCATCCTGCTCAGTGATGAGCCGTGAAATCGATGTTATCCGCACGGCCACTAAAGGTAATAATGAGTCTTCGTCTTTCAGGCATGAAAATCTGGTTTCCTTTGTTATCAGGTGGGCAGGATTGCCCGTGTGACTTACCTAAACCAATTGGAAAAAACCCATATTTAATGAACCACTTTCTAATTAGTATCCCACCCCAAGTAATATAATTTAGCTGTTTTCTCACATTAAAATGCAGCTTTGGGACATTTTAGTAATTTTAGCAGCGGTGGACATTTTAGTAATTAAGTTATTGATTTGTATGGTTCATTCTCTCATGCTATTAGGCTGTTTGGATGCTATTTCTTCAGATTCCTAAAAAGTTAGCTAACTTGGTGCAGTTTGGAAAAGCGGTTGGACACATTCTGTGATTTTCCCAACTGTTCACGCACCGGAAGTGTTGGGAATGCACTTTCTGTTAGCTGGAGGAACATTCTTACTGAACACATGCTTAACATCAATGAGCTCATTAAATCTTGCTGAGTCACACTGTTTGCAATGTCTGGGCCACCTAACCTCCTTTGCGGCCTTACGGTTATGATATTTGTGGCCTTTCTTCCGAATTATGTTTTTCCCTGACTGAAAAATGGTTTAATTATTGTAGTGCTATCAGGACTGGGCCAGACTCTTGATGTTGTGTGTTTTGTTTTTTTTTACTCTTTCACTTTAAGTACCCACGTAGAGGCGCCGTTACGTAATGAATAATGTCAAGCTTTGAATTGCATTATCCATCATTCTAGAGACCTTGCAAGGGGGTTTTTTAACATAGACAAGAATTGCAGGAGGTGTGTGACTCAGTGGCTTGGAACACTGTGCCTGTGAACAGAAGGTCGTTGGTTCAAATCCCATGGCCAGTGGCATGATTTCACCTTAACCCTTCAGCAAGGCCCTTAATCCCCAGTTGCTCTAGGGACTGTCTGATCCTGCATTCTCAAAAAAGTACATTGCATCCGATGAAGGCGTCTGCCAAATATATAAAACGAGTGATGATTTTTGGGTAACACTTTACTTGACGGGGCACAAATACTTAATATCTAGTAGTTAGTAATAACTGAGTTGATAACAAAGTACAAACCATGAAAAAATATAGTTGTTACTTGTGATAAAGGATGCGTCACAATTCATGAACGATGAACAAACATGCAAGTATTTCACTTGTGTTATTTAAGACCTGTTCCTTCAGTAGTTCACAAGGGTTTACAGTATTAACAAATATAGTAACAAATATGTTTAATATGCGCTTAAGGTAAAACATGCATCACCATTCATTAATGATGAATTACCATGAGATCAGTATGTGACTAAGACTTAGTTTGTGGTTAATTAATACATAAGTAATAGTACAATACTGTATTATTTGTGCCCCATCAAGTAAAATGTTACCGTTTTTTTGTGCTAAGGAGTAAATAAAATGGCCACTGTATTCTTACAGAGCTGATGACGTGCGAGGAGCTGCACGCTATTCTGCATCTGGTGCTGCAGGCCGGGAACATCATGAATGCTGTAAGTGCCAGTGCAGGCTGCTGTAATGCCAGTGCAGGCTGCTGTAATACCAGTGCAGGCTGCTGTAAGTGCCAGTGCAGGCTGCTGTAA